CCCATCCCAAGAAACAAAATACCAAGGAAACAACCATAAGAAACAGAAGAGAGAGAGAGAGAGAGAGAGAGAGAGAGAGAGAGAGAGAGAGAGAGAGAGAGATAGTTTCTCTTGCTGTTAATACGAAATTTTTGAGCAAGGTACGTTGACCCTCTGTCAAAGTACTAAAATTATTTTCGTACGGAATAATCTGATTGTAAGATCATCAGATGTAATTGACGGGTTTGAAACTTAAAATAGTTTATATGCTGAAACGTCATTACCATCAACGACACACACACACCCAGTTGTCGTCCACCCTAACCCATCCCACCCCTCGTTTATAGTCTCGATTTGGTTAGTGAGATTAGATTTGAAGTGACCGATAAGAATAAAGGGAAAAAGAAGATATACGAGAAAAAACGTAAATTCGTATCTCTCGTAGATTTCTCATTGAAAGAGTAGGTTGGGGAAAGGTAGGGGAAGGGGTGGTGGTGGTGATGGTTAGAAGAGTTTGTAACGCAGTTATGCGAGAAAGACGCGTACCATGATGAGATGTTTGTTGGTTAAAACACAGCGAGGTGCCTTGTTCATTTTCCTTTGGTCAAATAAATGCGCTTACGAGAAAACAGAAAGCTCACTGTTAAAATATGTAACTGCAGTTACAAGAGAAGGAAATGCGAGATGGGTGGGGGGGTTAAGATGAAGGAGGAGGAGGAGGAGGGGAGATAGAATGAAGAAAAAGAGAAGAAGAAAAAGAAAAAGAAGAAGAAGGAATGACGAATGGTGTCCTACGAGAGAGCTAATGGCAAAATCGCGAGCCAATTAGCGCGTACCGCGAATTAATCTTCTTCCCTCACCCCTGTATCTTTTTATCGTACATCAATGTTTTTTTCATTTTTTTTTCGTCTTGTGTTAGTTTTAAAAAATAAAAAAAAAAGGAAACGGAGGCCTAAAAAACGTAACAAGTAATTATTGTAACGATATCACAGAAATTGTGGGGGTGTAAATTATAATAAAATGATGTAATCGTGTATTATTGTTGGTAGAAAAATTTGCTTTTGATTTAATCTACGATTTCTCTTCTTTGATTTAACATTACCAAAAAAAAAAAAAAAATTAAAATTAAAATTAAAAAAAAGGAAATTTAGAAAAAAGGGACTACTATTAAAAATAAATTAAGGGAATGTTAATTATAATAAAATGACGTGGTCTGGTATTTTTGTTGGTAGAAAAATTTGCTTTAAATTTAATTTAGGATAGTCTTCTTTTAGTTAACATTACCAAAAAAAAAAAGAAAAAAAAAATTAAAAATAAAATAAAAAAGAAGGAAGAAGAAAATTTAGAAAAAAGGGACTACTATTAAAAATAAATTAAGGGGGTGTAAATTATAATAAAATGACGTATTTCTCTCGTTCTTGTTTATAGAAAAATTTTGTTTTAAATTTAATCTACAATTTTTCTTCTTTGATTTAACGTTAACAAAAAACAAAAATAAAATAAAAAAGAAGAAAGGAAGAAATTTAGGGAAAAGGGCCTACTATTACCTATTCTTGCCGCGTAATGGATATTCTTTCTAGTTTAGGTACGTATTATAATCCCCCTTCGTGTTTTTCATTTTCTTTCTATTCCCATTCTTTTCTATTCTTTTCTTTTCTATTTTGTATTTCATAGTGTCCCATGGACCGGCGTGTCTGTCTCTCTGTCACTCGATACAAAGTTTCTTAAAAGCGTTGAAGACGACGAGGACGACGACGAGGACGACGAGGCGAACGATGACACGGAGACCGACAAAGACAACCGGTCCCCAAATTTTGGGTCCTATCGAAATATATACGATGTCAAAGCTTTACCCAACCCCCTGGCCCAAGTTCTCAAACTAGTCCCTTTGCTTATTCGAGTATCGTATTGCAATTGTTAACAATTTGTCTACAATTTGTCTACAATCTCAATGTTACATTGTATGAAAAAGGCTGGGGGTGAGGGGGTGTGGAAAAGAGAAAAAAAAGGAAGAAAAGAAAAGTGCAGCGGGGTGAGGAGGATCTGTTAAAATAAGTTGACCCATACACCCATAGAAATCTTTCTCTCTTTTTGCTTGCAGTTCTTCGTCGCACACCCTTTCCTCCTCCTCCTCCTCCTCCTCCTCCTCCTCCTCTTTTTTTTCTTTCTTTTTATTTTATTCTTGTTTTATTGTTTTCGTCGAGCCCACACGGGCACACTCACTTCCGGCACTTCCTGTGTCACACGCCGTTGAACACGCTCGAAGCAACCCTCGAAAGAAGAGAGATAGAAAGATAGAAAAAGAGAGAAAGAAAGAAAGAGAGAGAACTAAACTACTCTTGTAACGACACCCTACACGTCCGGTTAACCAGAAAAGTAGCTCTATCCTAATTGTTGATACAACAAATTCTACAAGTCGAGATTTATTCTCCCTGCTGTTAAATGAAATGTTTCCTGTAAATATATTCCTTGCTAGTAGACCAACCAACCCCTCCTTCTTCTTCTTCTTCTTTTTCTTTTTTCTGGTGGTCATTTCTTTTCTTTTTTTTTTTTTGAATGAAGAAGGAAGGGTGGTGTTTGGGTTGTGTTGGATTGAGTTGTGATTTAGTTCACGTTACTACTTCATTATTTATAGATTAGATATATATTTGATATCTAATAATAATAATAAAAATAATAATAATAATAATAATAATAATAATAATAATAATAATTAAATGTATATCTAATATAAATAATAATATTATATATAATCTATAAATATATATATATTATAAAAACGTTTATTCGATCTACAATTGTAAAATATTTTATACCTAATAATAATATATAATATATATTATAATATATATAATAATAATTAATGTAATAAATATTTATAAATTATTTATTTTAAAAAATGATAAATAATTATATATATTATATTATAATATATAAAATAATAAAAAAATATACATTTATAGATTATTTATTATTAAATTTATAGATTTATTATTTATAAAAATGCTCATCACGTTTATTCAATATTCAATTGCAAAATTGTGTTGATTACCAATTCAATACGGTATGTTTGTTGGTGATTGGGATATACACACGTGTGGTGTATGTGTATATACGTATGAGTGTGTGTGTGTGTGCATTTGTGGGATAAATTTGGGAAAGACTATCGGTAAAAGTACTTACATTATGCAGTTTGTAGTAGAGACCGCATGCGTTGCATACTGGTTCACCGGCTTGATTCCTTCGCCAAAGTGTCGTCGTTCCGGTTTTGCAGTTTGCGCAGCTGGTGCCCGCCCGTCTCGCCGCACTCTGCAGCGACAGTTTTTGGAAAGAAAAAAGAACAGAGAGATATCACACCCGTAACCAATTACAATACAATATTATTATCATTATTATTATTACTATTATTATTTAACCCTTTGGTTACATTTGAGGTAATAGTACGTCATGTATTTGTTTGGGCAATAACTTACATGACGTTCTGATACGTCATTGAAATTTTTTGAACAGATTTAACTGTAGTTCATGCTGCGATTTATTTCAAAGTAATAAATAATTTTTATATTATATTATAATTTAATATTAATTTGAATTATTATAATATTTAATATTGATTTGAATTATTATAATATTAGATATTGTATTTAATATATAATATTTAATATTATATTTAATATTATATTTAATATAAATTTGAATTATTTTATAATATTTAATATTATATTTAATATATAAATTTGAATTATTATAATATTAAATATTTTATTTAATATTAATTTAAATTATTATAAAAAAAATATTTAATATTATATTTTAAATTAATTTAAATTATTATAATATTAAATATTGTATTTAATATATAATATTTAATATTATATTTAATATTAATTTAAATTATTAAAATACTTAAAAATATTTTTTATTATTTAAATTTAAATAATTATTTAAATTTAAAGATTTAATATTAATTTAAATTATTATAAAATATTTCAAAATAATTTTCAAATCAATGTGTAACCAAAGGGTTAATTACAATAAATGTCACACATTTGTTCGACGTATCTGATTTTCTATTTTTTTTTTTTTTTGAAACAGTTCCTTTGAGACCATTTTTATACTTTTTGCTTCTTTTTTTTTTTTTTTTATTCTTAAAAGTCGTGCAATTTTTTTTTTTTGTAAGATTGAAAATACATTATTTATAAGTTCGAATACTTATGTCTCTATATAAGTATGTAATGTATGTATGTATGTGTCAATGAACGTGTTAAATGGTTAAGATTATATGGCAAAAACGTTTAGGATAAAAAAAAAAAAGGAAAAAAAAAAGTTGTCAATTATTATGATTATTAATGGTTAGACATCTGAAAGGTTTCTTATTCGATCATTTCAAAATCGAGACACGTTCGATCGATCCCTTTCTCTCTTTCTTTATTTCTTTATTTTCTCTCTCTCTCTTTCTCTCTCTTTCTCTCTCTCTTGAAGGATCAAGAAGGCAAGTCTGACACGGGTTCGCGTGAAATCGGTCTTTCTTAATCCTTATTTCAAATACCGCGAGAGTCGAATTGATCTCAAGAAGAAGATGAAGATAGAAAATAAAGAAGTAGAAGAGCAGAAGTAGAAGCAGAACAAATAGAAGAAGCAGAAGAAGTAGAAAAAGAAGATAGGTGTCTATTTTTTTTAAGTAAATGTTACCCCATACACAAAAACTACTTCTGTCTTCCTTTTTTTTTCTTTTTTTTTCAATCTCGTACAAAACCCTACGACACTTTGAGTAAAAAAAGAGAGAAAGAGAGAAAAAGAGAGATAGAGATAGAGAAAAGGTAAAAAGAAAATTATATAGGGAAAGACATCTCTTCTGCACTTGTGATCATCATCCTCCATCACCGAGTGGCAAACGTCTAAAAAAAAGAAGAAAAAAAAAAGAAGTAGAAGATCCATTATACGTCCTTTTAAAAAACCGACCACGGATTATTTCACACGCTCTTACGTATCCCGTATAATATACTAATAGGATAAGATGATCATGGTGTCTCTGTGTGTGTATGTGCGTTGAGAAGTACTATACCTCAAACGTTTTAGGTATTATATGCTATAACCTCGTCTTTTCTTACATTTTTACTTAAAAAAAAAAAAAAAAAAAAAAAAAAAAAAAAAAAAAAAAAAAAATAAAATAAAATAAAATAAAATTCTTCTTTTTCAATCAAACGTCAAAACGTAAAAAAGCTATTAAAAAAAAAAAAAAAGAGAAAAACCAATTCTAATTTTATAAATGAAATTTTTTTTTTTATGAAAATAATATAATTATTTTATATTAAATATTAAATATATTATAATTTAGTAAATAAATTAAATAAAAATTTGTGTGTGTAAAATATTACATATTACAATTTATAAAATAAATTAAATAAAAATTAATAAAATATTTTATATTACAATTAAGTAGTAAATATATACTATACTATACTATAATAATATATATACTAATACTACATAGTACTTACTAGTATTATAATATTTACTAATAATATATATAGTAACTATATAATATTTAATATATATATATAAATGTTATATACACATAATATTATAATTAAATAATATATTAATTTTTATAATTCACAAACAGAAATTATTGCAATTGTAAATATAACTGTATACGATGACTTCTCGACCAATAATAACACACTTGATCACGTAGGATCCCCAAAAAAACGAAAAAAAAGGGTGGCCAATTTGTGGTAAAAATTATCCTTAGAATCTTTCACAAACTCACCCTTATTAAAGTACCTATTGTTTCGATGTACTTGTAAACGCAACAACACAACAACAAAAACAACAACAACACAACACACTGATTGTTACCAAGCATCGTAAAATTTCCGGTGTTGCTTCCTCCCTCTTACACCACCCTCCCTCCTCCCCCAATCCTCTTGCTTTCCATTTAGTATAAAACATCATCACCCTTCCAACCTATACTATTTCCCCCTCCATATTTCACTCACCCTCCATCCCGAAAGTACCACTTAACCCCTCCCCCCTCAATTCCACTACTTCTCGAGATGACACTGCTTTGACAGAATGAAAAAAAAAAAAAAAGAAACAAGAATAGCAAGGACACAAATTCTTTTTTCTTTTTCTTTATGAATAGGAACAGAAACGTTGAACGTATTGTCATAGTTGAATAGTTTTCAAGAAGATTATAGATATCTAATGGACCCCTAAAATCATTGTAAGATTTTTCTTTCTAACATAATGGGTGGAAACGTTTAGGTATATATATATATCAAGGGATACAGGACAACTAGGAAGAAAATGGGTCTAACCGTTTACCTTTTTCCTATCTTAAAAGAAAAAAAAAAGAGAGAGAGAGAGAGAGAAGAAGAAGAAGAAGAGATACATTTGTTTATTTTCTTTTTCTATGTGTATATAGTTAGATACAATTTTATTTAGGTAATACCACTCGAGATAAATTATACACTTCGTCAGTTACTTCAACTACGAGAAGGAAAAGAAGAAGATGGAAAGAATCATACGCCATTATGAAGAATTCACGTCAGTCTAAAGTTTTGTTCAGAGAGGAAGAGACACGTTGATATCATTGAAAGTAATAAAAAGAAAAAAGAAAGAACGTTGTGTTTACCCTGTTTAAGAAGAGGGAACGTGGTAAGGGGTCAGAAAGCATAGCAGACGCAATGGGGGTTAAGGGTTGGTGGTTGGTGGTTAGTCTGTCGTGAGAAGGTGGAAGAAGAAAAAGAAAAAGAAAAAGAATAACGGGRTGAGGAATGAGTTGGAGTGGTTTGGGTAGGGGTTTGGGGCTGGGTTGAGTTGAGTTGGACGGGGTTTGGTGCGGTGTGTAATCATGCCTTATCTGTATGATCTTATCGAGACTGGCTGGCGCGTAGGAAAAGGGGTTTCTGCAGGGTGCTGCTTCGTAGTTCTCCAGGGCTTGGTAAAAGCAAGCCCTGTGGTGTGGTGTGGTGTGGTGTAGTGTCTGTCCGCGTGGCGGAATCAATACGCGGAGAGCCACCCTCATCAATATAGTGCGGGCGGTTATGGTAGGAAGGTAGGAAGGTAGGAAGGTAGGTAGGTAGATAGGTAGAGGAAAAGGAAGAGGAAGGGAAAAAGAGGGTGGTGTTGGTAGTCCTATCTGCTCTAGATCTTCGACACCACCCCGCCTACCTTTTCTACTTTCCCTACCCTTACACTTGTATACTACAGGAAAATCGTTCCACCACCCTGGGTTAAAGGTGGTGCTTCTTCTTCTTCTTCTTCTTCATTTTCTTTACCCCTTAATGGTTATTAAATGAGAATGAAAAAATGAGAAAGTGAATATTCACACCATATATATATATTTGTATGTGTATGTGTGAAGTATGTTACAGTAAATGAAATACAAAAATAAAATAAATGAATTCTCTGTGATTGGTGTGTGTACTTTTACTCGTGACGTAAAATGCAATTTCGTTAATATCAACTCGTAGAATTTTGGTTAGCATACTTTTTTATTGCCAAAGTATTATCCCTTCCACCCCTAGGGGAGAAAATCTGTTTAATTATGTTTGTTATAATTTAACAACGAATTTTTATTTTTGACTGTAAATAGAACGTGAACAAATAATAAGTGAAATGAATTATTTGAAAGAATAAAAACACGTGGCAAAATGAAACGAATGAACGAATCAACGATCAACTGGGCCAACCCATATGTACGCATTGTTTCCACTATTTAAAAAAAAAAAAAAAAATCTTTATCCAATGTTATTAACAACTCGCATAATCGTGTAACGAAGAAAGTCTCTTCTACAATTGGTAATTCAACTTCAACTCAAATCATAAAAGTTTCTCATACTCAACACATACTTTGATCAACCTTCTTTTCTCGGCCATTGCAATCGGAATGATTCGATGTTCTCTTCTGATCAAACTTTTTTCTCTTTTTCTATTTAATTTTTTTTTTTTTGTTCTTTTTATATTTGTCCCTCCCAAAAGGGAGGACCAAAAATTTCTTTGTGGACAATACTTGCTCGTCGTCGAATCGCACACGCCGCCCGTTCTATCCTTTTCAAACCGGTTGCCCCACCAGAAGGAGAACCCAGAGAACTCACCGACACTGACGGATATGACATTTCTGAAGTTTGCAGTTATCTCTCTTTCTCCTTTCTCTTTTTCTTTTTCTTTCTTTATTTCTACTTCTCTGACTCTGAAACGTTAGAGAACCAACTACACTCGTACTATCTCTTTCTTTCTCTTCTGACTCTGTTTCTTTCTTTTTATTCCTATCTGGACCGCGTCAATTTCTCTCTTTCTCTTTCTTTCTC